AATCATTAAATTGTTTACCCCGCAAATGCTGTTTCAGGGCTCTAAACAAATAATAGTCTGATGGGGCGAGGTCTGGGGAATAAGGTGGTGGGGTATCGTCTCCCAGCCCAAGTTCTCCAACTGCCGGCGAACCACAGATGCGACGTGAGGTCGAGCGTTATCGTGCAGTAAAACTACATTGACTCGTCTTCGTCGTTTTTTCTTGATAGCGGCAGATAATTTGGTAAGCTGGGTTGAATATTTGTCAGCGTTTAAAGTTTCATTGTGTAATAGCTCATAAAACAGTATGCCTTGCGCATCTCAGAAACAGCAAAGCAGAATTTTTCGGCGGTTCTTTTGACTCGGCTTCGGTTGAGTTGGTGGCGTTTCTTCTCGAGGCAGCCAAAAAGCACGAAATGTATCGTTCTCGTAATAAATCCATGATTCATCTCCAGTAACCAGATCTGACAAAAACTCTTGACGTCGGGGTCGCAGCAAAAGTGACTGACAGATAGCGACAAGGACTGCACGACTGGCGTCTGTAAGGATGTGCGGTACCCACCGAGCCAAAACTTTTCGATAACCAAGCTCATGCAGATGGTGTTCCACGGCGTGGTGACTGCATTTAAGTGCTTCCGCTAATTCACGAGTGGTAGCATCCGGATTCAACTGCAGTTCGCGGCGCAAATCGTCATCATTCACTGCGGGTGGTCGCCCTGAGCGTGGTTGACTTTCAAGGCTCCTGTCTCCTGATTTAAAACGGTCAAACCATCGGGACACCGTCGTATGGCTTGTACTTCCAGCGCCTAATGCATTGTTGATATTGTCAGCCGCAGCCCGCGCACTGTGGCCTAACAAGTACTCGTATAAGTATAGTGTTCGAACTTGTCGCTCGTCCATTTTTCTTCAAACTGACTAAACAAATCGCGAGCGCGCCTTTATATACCCTACACCAGAAGTACCTAGAATGTTCTACAACATTCTAGAATATTATCGAAAAAATTGATTTTTAAAAGGAAATGTTATAGATTTTTCTAGTGTGTCTCATTACTTTTGTGCCAACCCAATATATAAAAATAAAAAGAAATATATATAATATACAATATACCTCAATACGAACACACATCAATATACCATAAATATAAGTATACCTATCTGCCTTCACAAGTGCGAAATCTTTTTCACCAAAATTTAAGTTTTTCCACTTCATGTTATATTTGTACACAGGTGACTGAGTATTATTATGCCATAAGTTTATTTATATATGTCAGTATTTAAATCATTTAAGTCGATGTGTATAACAATGAATTCCAATTAATACCAATAGAAATTAAAATATTATTTATTAATTATAGGAATGTAGTAATAATAGAGGAAAACAATTATGATTATTAATTCTGCTATGATTTGCCGGCAAATTTAGTTAATCTTAAACATCTTAACGCTCGGAGAGTGAAGTTATAGATCTTACTAAAAAAAGACCACTGCAAAATCTGGATCAGTTGAACGCTGCACAGAGTTGACGCTGTTTACAAGGATTGCGAGTTCCAAGCAGGAAACAGGGCGGTTTTTAAGGTAAGCGATTTGTTTCTGTGGCTTCTCGATTAAGATGAATACAATCATTTCAAAAGTATCTCAATTCTACAGTTCATTTTATGTAAGTCGAAGAGTGGTTCGGTACATTAACGCCACATAGCGCTTAAATAGAAAGAGCTCATTTCAACAAGCAAAAGCAGACATGTGACTATTAACTTTTACTTGACCAAAGTACATGCAGACTAATACAAACCTCCGTAGATACATCGTTTTTTTGTGAAATTGGTGTTTAGTTATCTTTACGTACGCGAGAATATCTCGAAAAGTAATAATTGGCTTTAGAGTATTCTAAATCGTTTTATGAAAAAAAAAGAGAATTCGACCAAAAATGTAGTTGTCCGTTTGTTCTTTGCTGCCGTCGATATAAAAAATATCAATATCACTAAAAATGGTTTTTTTAAGCATTTTTCATTACTAATATTTTTAGTATAGTATTGTGAATGCAAAATTGATCAAATATAATGATTAGGACAAATTTTCATCTTTATCGAAATATGAATTATTTGTAAAAAATATTTCTTTCGGCTGTTTGAGTGGATTGCCTGAACATTGATGAAAATACGATCTGTAGTAGCGAAAAAGTAAAAAGTCCTTGAAAAGTTCGAGAGTCCTGTTAGGTCCTGTGTAGCTCAGTGGTTAAAACAGTCGCCTAGATTGCGAAAGGTCATGGGTTCGAGTCCAATCTTTGAATGCCAGGGACAAAGTGGATTTTTTTTATCATTTTCATTAAGACATTTTTTATTTATTATAATTGATCAAATGTAAAAAAAAAACTTTTTATAAAAGTAGAACCTACTTCAAACTTTAAAAAAATGATAAATAATACTTATCTCAAAAGTGACCTATTCAAGAAAATGCTATTTAAGTCGGGCTTCAATAACTTTTTCTTAATTATGTAATAAGTCGCATTTGAGATAGGTAAGTATTATTTATCAATTTTTTTAAGTTTGAAATCGTATTAGTTTCTGTGATCATAGATTTTTCACAATATCGAGCATATTAGTTTCTGTGATCATAGATTTTTCACAGTTATCACACTGCCTGCGTCTCTGCCTACCCCGCAAGGGATACGGCGTGAATATATAGGTAGATACTCATTTATCGTTATGGGTACCCATGAAGATGACTGACGAAAAACCGATGCCAATCAAAGTGAACGATCGTCTAGTGACTTTCGACGTTTGATATATTGTTTCTTGGAACTTATTTAATGTCATAGAGTAAAACAAACCAAGATGAAGTTGGAGATATATCGTTATCAGTATGTACTTTAATTCAAAGATAAGTAACAACATCCAGAGCCCTTTTCCAAATATTTCGATTTAGTTTTACAGCAACTCCATTACATCTTCGTGTATACACTTGACGCTTAATACAGTATATATTTCATTATAGGTGAGCTTTATTTAGATCAAGTAGAATGTGCTAATTAAGGCAAGAGTGAATAGATTCCTTCTGGGCAAGCTCATCCCACCGTAGATCTCATCTATGTTAGGCTAGATTGAGGTCAAAAGTGAGCGTATTGTAAATAAACTTGTGTTCACTTCAGAGATCAAGGCGTGTGCGGCTTGGATAACGCTGCACCATGAAGCTGATGTGATTAATAAATTACGGCGATACTGAGTTGTATTTCGCATGACGTCACGCCTTTGAGCATTTCTATTACATAGTCATCACTTAGCGAGTTCCCACTCTAAATATTCAATGACTCTTAACTATTTTTTGTTAAATTGGAGCAAAGAAAAATACGTACATATTATATTTCTATTATCTGACTTATAAAAATAATTTCTTTTTTTACACTTCCTATTATAAAATCTAATTATGCTATAAAAGTTTGGTAGGATTAAAACTAACTCAAAATTTTGTCTAGTTTGAACAGAATATCACTAATATCCGCAAAACAAATGCACAACAGACAATGCAAAATCTAGATCTCTTTAATTTATTGAAAATATGAAAAAAAAAACAAGCAGAAATATTTATTTTTAAACAAATTACATATCTTTTTGAATAATGACTGCTCTTGCTAGTGAAAAAGTAAAGACAATGCCGAATTGTAAATAAGGGGAACATTATTTTTTGTATGAAGTCATAAATATTTCAAGATGACATTCTACGGACATTCATTAAACCTTATTACATTTCCAAATTTCACATTAGTACCTACAGTGTTTTGTTTCCAAAATAAGAAAGTAAATAACTAACTAAAGGTCATAGATGAGTTTATAAAACTGACCGTAAATTAATAAATAGGTAACGTGAGACGCATTCAATCTCTCAATTCAATTCATTATTTTTTTTTTTTAATATTTCCTTTTTGCATTCAATGAACTCTTTCATACGATTGAACCAATTTTGAAAACATTGAGCTACTCCTCCGTGATCACGTCAGATATACGTTTACGTACCCTTCGACAGCCTCTTCTGATAATGAAATCAGTGAACCGCGTAATTGGTTCCCGATTTTTGGGAATAGAAAAGTCACACAATTTTCATAATGACGCTACATTAGAAGACAGTTGGCTATCTGACGAAACTACTTATATTTTTTGGGTAAAGAGTTCAATTTTTTTTATGTAGTATTAACTTTTTTAGTATTGTTTATGTAAGTGGCCTATTCCAGGTTTTTTTAGTGTGACCTATACGAACGCTTGATCGCAAAATTGACCAAACAAATACTCGATTACGTTGCAAAAACTCAATTGAGTAGCATATTAATGGGTATTTTTGAAATTTAGTAAATGAAACTTCCTCCTCTTAGATAATATAAATACATTTTCTTTATTGTCTGTCACGACAATGGCGGTTTTTTTCCAATATACAAAGTTATTCAAAAGGTAGTTTTATAACAGTTTATATAAATACAAGACCACGCGGGTGAAGCCGCTTGTTAATCTCTAGAACATGTAATGGTCTTTTTAATATTAGGCGATGGTAGCAAAAATGTTTGAGTCTGTTTGTTAATCGCATAACTTTGGAATAGCCTATACTAGTGTAAAGTGGAAATATTTGATTATATGTTTGTATTAAATAGGAAGATACATCATACGCGCAGGTGACATGGGCTATAATTTACGCGAGCGAAATCACAGTAAAACAACTAGTAATATTATAATTACAAAAAAAGTTATTTACGGATTTGCTATCATTTAATTTATCCTTATTGAGTCGATATTTCGCTATTACGAGTGGCATGATCATAGAGTAACTGATGTTTCTTGAATATTATGTGCTGATATATCGATCTACACTCTTTTGAGTCACCTTATAGTTGCATTAGTTACTCAGTCATCATGGATAGGAACAACACTGTAATATCGGAGAATGAAAAACAATAAGAGATATATGGCAGTAATCCTGTTAATAAATATAACTCTGATTAGCATTTTTCTTCAAAACAACATAATAAATAAAGAATCACAGTCCTAAAAACAATAATTTAATCAAATCACATTATCTCTCTTCCGCTTAACAAACAATAACTGTATAGCATCTACTGTTAGTCCTTTTGTCTCGGGCATAAAAAGCACGCAATATATCGCTGATCCGAAGCAAACTGCGGCAAATATGTAAAAGACGGGACCCAAACCGATGGCAGCGACCAAGGGGTTGAATATGAATAGTATGATGAAATTACAGATCCATGTCCACTCCATAACAATCATTGACATGATACTCTTGACCTGAAAGACGTAGAATGATCTTTAAACATATTTCATCACATACATAACTGCCAACCCTAGGAAAATCCTGTAACGTAGGTAGATAGATTCTTCCAGAGTGCAGATATAATGCTATATAAACAACGACAAATTAACTCTGTATATATATAACTAACTATATATATATATATATATATATATATATATATACGTTACTATTACATAAACTATTATTACCTATTTTGTGATTATTAGAAGTAATTCTGTCCTTTCATAATCAAGTGAAAGCAAGTAATTGGTTACCTTGGTTTTACAATGTCTGTTATTATTTGGATTTATATTTAGTTTTCTATTTATTTTAATTATTATATATGTAGCAGGATAATACATTTTTCTGCCGTTGCGCTAAGAATGAATTACATTTACAGTTTTACAGAATTTGCATGTAATTTGTCCCTATATTTTATGCACCGCAAAAGCCCTGGCGCTATCGAGTGCTTAAGTATTCCCTCTCTCTTTCTGGTCGCAACTATTTTAGTATAAATTTTAACTTTATCTATGACTAACTTTGTCAACAAGTTGGCGTCAATAGTATTATTGAGGAATCAAAAGTCAACCGATTCAAGATACACAACGACTTTTTGGATATCCATTACGGTTTTGAACATTGGTGTCTTATTTCGTCTTACCTCCGAATTTATATTTTTAAGTATAAAATGATCTATGCACGAATTACAATGTGTCGGATTCTAGGAAAAACTAACGATCAAATGAGTACTTTCTCCAGGATTCCCGTGTACTAAAAGTACAAATGTTCAACGCTGTATTCGACATATTGCTCAAAACAAGTGAATTTGAAACCAGTAATATTCCTTTACTTCCTGTAACACACTCCACGGACTTGTTTTACGGACGTAAAACAGAACCATCTGTCTATTAAATTAATTAATTATCTATTAGCTTTCCGCCTGCGACTTCTCTGTGCCAAATTTCATTAAAATTGGTACAGCAGTATATGCAGAGACAGACAGACAGCGACAGAACCAGAGTTCCTTTGCATTTATAATATTAGTAACGATTGATTCATCTAATTTCAAGTAGAGTTAGGTTTCACAGAACATTTTAAATACTCAAAGACCCTTTAAGCTTACCTCTGGCAAGAATAACTCAGCGAGTAAAACAAAAGGTACAGTTCCAGCTCCACAAGTGTACGTTGCGCAAAACAAATAAATAAAGACCGCAGTCAACCACTGTGGACCCCAATGTAAATGAATTTGTGTACCCAAGGCTATACAGCTAAAGCCAGCAGCTACGGAGGAGACAATTATCAGCGTCTGCAAGGTCAAATGAAAATTGATATGTACTTTATCAAATTCTAGATGAATCAACTTAATAAGAATCTTAAATTACTAACTAGGTATACACAAAGATACTCGCTTGAATTAATTGACTAGTTTACCAGTAGCTTGTTTTTCTATGATAAAATCAGTGTCGAATCCGACGTTGAATAAAGCGGTGTTACAGCATAGAGGTTCAATGAAACAAAACATTGTTACCTTTTGGAGTAGATTTTATTTGATTAAACCTCTATGTTATGGCTACACTCACCTTGATGTGATTTTTTATTCTGAATAGCAATGTAGTACAGGTAAACCAAATCACTATACCAGTCAGCTAATCTTAAACTGGTTTTTAAAGACAAGGAAAATCAAATTAAATACAAATTACTTGAATTAATTAGAAACAAAAATAATGAAGTTTAAACAAACTGTAAATTAAAATGAGTTTATTAATTTACAATATGGATCATAATCTCAATTTTGTATTTACAGTGGATGTTCGCTATTCTAATGGGTATTCACATCGGACGATAACTGACTATAACTATACGATACGATATAACTATACGATAACTGCACGATATCGTCAGACTAGTAGTAGTAGTTTAATATAATCACTACTAGAAGCTTTTACACTGTGTCGTTTATCATCTCCGACAGATTATCATGCGGATATCGGATAGCGACATAGATTTTCGCTGTAAATATAAAAGATAAAGAAAATATAACTTGCTTTTGCTTTTACTTGCCATTATTACCTCAAATATTCTTTTACACTTTTAGAATCACGCATTGGAATCATATACTAACTACTAGCAAACAATTGGTTATATCGTTTCACATTTCCGAAATAGTGCGATATCGTAACGATGGTATTGTTGTCCAAGCTAACGATATATGAGTATCGCGTGTGAAAACGCCACATAGCGGCAGTATGCGCATTAAAAAAAGCCACAAAAATCTCTTTTTATATTCATGTTCAATGATCTCACCCGTCTGCCAATCAAATCAGTCAAGTAAGCTGCGATAATTCCAAAGACCACGGACACTGCCGCAAGGATAACACTGCACCATGTAGCTGATAGGATCTCTTCTGGAACTGCTTCAACGAAGAGAGGATTTGCGTACACAATGACCACCATCAGGCCTTGAAAAATGGCTGTCGTCATCAAAGTCAAAGCGAGAAGCAAACCACGCTGGGTAGATTTGGATTTTTCTGGAAAAAAAATAACAACAGATATTAGAGCACGAGAAATATTACTCCTACCATAAGATGCAGTTTTAAAAATGATATTAGCTAGCTTAGGATCTATCCTAAGCTATACGATATGTAACTATCTATCCTAAGCTAGGTTAGGTAACTTCATTTATAATGAAAGATTCAACTTACTGAAAAATTGGAAGAAGTTCAGTTTTTTCGTAGGAAGGTTCTTAGAAACATGTGATGTTAACTTCTCTTCTTCAGGACTTTGTACTTCTGTAATTCAATTCTTAATTATTATTATATCTTATAACATTCATAATATAATCCTTACATAAAATAGTTTACGGTTACAAGAAATGTATTTTATTGTATCGTACTTAAAAATGTAATACTGTCTCATAGAAAAATATCAATGTAGCAAATGCAAAATTTACCAATTATAAATAATTAATGTAATATATCCAATAGATATATACAACACTATAACTTAATACATATTCTTCGAAATCCGAAATTATTAAATTTATTTTACAGCAGTGATTTTAAAAACACCGATCTGATAGTTGGTTGGGCCATCCAATTTTGAACTAACCAAAGGAGTTGTATAAAACCTCTCATTTCATTAATGAAAACAAACGTTTGAATTTAATTGTGAGTTCAAAATTTCCCCTTACCTAGTTCTTCGGGAGCTAAGGCCCTTTTAATCTTCATTATCTCCTGCAACACTACTTTAGAATCAGGAGTTGAGTTTGTATAAAACGCTAAAGATTTCTTCGCTTCCTGTAAAGTTATGAGATCTATTAATTTTTCTTTTTCGTCATATTATTGTACTTACTTATTATAAAACAAACTCACTTCTTCCATGCCTTTCTTCATCAGCAGTGTTGGTGATTCTTTTAAAAGCATCAATATCATGACTCCAATCATGGATAGGGTAAGACAGATATACACCATAACTTTGTAGCTAAGAAGACCACCAATCATGTATGAAACAAGCATTCCTACACCATAGAAAACTATAGAACCCGATGTCAAAGCTCCCCTTATTGATTCATCGCTGAACTCGACTATGTACACAGGGACCACCAGTAATACTGAACCACTGATCCCAGCTAAAAATACGGCTCCTAGGATCACTTCGACACTGTTGCTGAATGCTATCAAACCCCATGATATCTGAAATTAATGGACATGAATATGAACATATAGCACACAAGTTTTTACCTCTTTTAGCATAGTTTAGTTAATAACAAATTATATCTGGCGGAAAAAAAATCTCTATATCCAGTCCAGCCCGAATAATATCTCCATATAAAATAATCTTAACGTAAGGGTCTATCTAGGGCAACATCCCGGTCCTATGTCTAGTGCCGGTTTTCTTAATACTTCTGCCACAGCTTAAATCGCTCTAAATTCAAAAACAAAAACTTTTATACAAACACTTTCAATGATTTTAATCAACGTTAAGCTCTTGCATTCAAAAAAGCTCTATAGTAACAAGTGCTTGAAAAATCGACAGACCTGTTATGTCCTGGATAGCTCAGTGGTTAAAGCAGTCGTCCGGATTGCGAATGGACGTGTGAATCCCATCTCAAAATGCCAAAGACAAGGTGGATTTTTTAAGCATTTTTCATTAAGAATAGTTTTCAATATAACATTATGAATGCAAATTGATCAAATATAATAATAGCTACCATAATTAGAGTTAAAGCACATTGTTTTGTATTAATTTTCATTTAGGTACTGATGTAATTGAATAGGCATGAATTCAATTCAATTTAGTTACTTCGTTATGGGCTATTCTATGATTATGCCGGCTTAAGTTTTTTCCTAGCCCTTTTTTTCTTAGGTAGGTATTCATCTTTCTATTATTTTATCAAGAATTCATAATATTGTTATGGGACGTTAGTTGTTGTTGTAGTAAAAAAAAAATATAAAAATCCTATCTTTAAGTAAATTTAATACAGATGTAAAACCAAACCATAATTATCTATTAACATTCTTATTTATTATACTATCTGCTTACCGTTCCAATACCAGCAGTGATTATAGCACTGCGTTTTCTTCCTAAACGATCCAAAAATAAACCAGTCAGTGGGTTGCTGACTAATGCTCCTATAGATGAGAAACTGCCTAACAATGACAGTTCTGACTCCACCATAGGTCGATGTAGCGGAGTCTCATCAGATTTGAAGAGAAGGAAAGTGGATGAAGGCCATGTGAAAACTACGCCAACATTGAGGCAGCTAAAATACACTGTAAATAGATAATATCTTTAAGATCAATATCAGTATAGCATTTTGAATGGAAAATTGATTAAATATATTATTATGAGCACATTTTTATTATATTTGAAAGTTCGAAATTTTCTTAAGAACATTTTTTTTGGCTGTTTTGGCGAGTTGCCTGTACATTACTAGCTTTTCGCCAGCGGCTTCATCCTTTTGAATTACTTTTATAAAACCGCATCCAAAACCATGGCGTACTATTAAAGATCTAAGCATACGTAGTGACAGACAAACGGAAAGCAACTTTCTTTTATACTACGTAGATATTTTAGTGGTTATAAAAGTCGCCCCAATTGCGAAAGATAGGGTGTTCGAAGCCTGGAACTGAGGTTCTTTTAAAGCGATTTTTTTTTGAGATAAATATTAATATATCATTTTGAATTCAAATCAAATTGAATAATATCAAGTCAATATCACAGTGTAAACTTATATAGCAAAAAAGAGTAGCTCCTCCATTTTAATAATTTTAGTTTTATTTCTTAAATAATTTTATCACTTACAAAAGTTACGAATCAGCCTGATATTTATATGCTACTATAAACCCAATAAGTTTCATTGTTGCTAAGTGTGATAAGATCTGGTTGCGACTTCGGAATCAAAATGCAGCGTTATGTAAAAATTGCAAGTCAATACAACTTTTCGATTTTTCCAGACACGAAGTTACTACTAGTTTTCACCTCTCGGAATGAAGGTTTAAATTAAAAATCTAATTAGAGCTTTTATAGGTCTACTATAAAATACAAGCATTCGAACGAACTTCCTCATTTGTATAATTTCAATCTGCAACATAGAACCTACTCCATATCGAATTTAATGTCGGTTAAAAATAAAATATTGGCATTTCAAAAATCTTAGAAGTGGTAGAAAAATCTTGCACAATCCAAAAGTACTTTAAATAAATTTATTTGTATAAACATATTTTCACTTTATATTTATTATTAGAGGTTTATAGGCCTGCTATAAAATACAAGTATTCGAACGAACTTCCTCATTTGTATAATTTCAATCTGCAACATAGAACCTACTCCATATCGAATTTAATGTCGGTTAAAAATAAAATATTGGCATTTCAAAAATCTTAGAAGTGGTAGAAAAATCTTGGACAATCCAAAAGTACTTTAAATAAATTTATTTGAATAAACATATTTTCACTTTGACATACTTTTACGGAGATTTCTGCATAGTATGAAGATTTTCACTTGATTTATTTATTTGTTAAGCATTTCTAACTTGTTAAAGTAATATTTGCATAAGTTTTGCATCAAATAATGTTAGAATTTCTTATGAACTTAAACAAGTATTGATACAAATTCTCTCAAAACCTATATACAGCCACACGAAACATGTTACACTGAACACTTAATATTTCCTCTTCTAAAATATAATATAAAACAAATATACTTACATATTAAAGCAGATAACACTTGAAATAAAACCTTACTCATTTTGTCCTTAATAATTAATATCAAAATTTGTACTCAAAGACGTCTAAGTATCATCACCTATTAAGACGTATCTGGATATTTTCTCTAATAACACCAATTTCTTCCTTATCTATCTGTACGAGATGAAAATCCATACAAATAGACGTGACATTGCTATTCGTCATTACGTTACCATAAATTTACAAAGATAACTAGATCACTTCATAAAATTTTCCTTTTTTAGTTTCATTGGTATTAGAAAATCACTATAACGATATGACAAAAATCATTAGCGTCATATAATTAAATTATATAAGTTTGCAGAAACAAGAGAATGCAAACTTCATCACTCAATACCTCTTTGGATACAGCAATGCTATTATATTAAAAACAGCCTAGAACTTCTTCTTCTTTGGTTTCAATGAAGTAAAACCTTATTATTATTGTCCTTATTACCTTTTCATGTAGATTCTACTTAAACTCCTACACAGTAACAGTGCTACGTTTGTCGTCAAGTTCTAACCTGTTTTTATAACAGTATAGTACTGTAGTGTATCCTTAATTAACAAATCACTCACATTTATTTATGTTATTGTTTTATAATTTTGAGGAATTGAAACTGAAAGTACACCCTCCTGCCCTAGATGACTCTAATACACGTAGGTACAGTATTTTAACCACCAATATAGAATCTAAACGACACCTGTAAATTCTAATTATGCTGGTTGAAACACCATATAATCTGTCAATTGAAATTGTATATCTTGATTTTTCATACCAATATAATTGTAATGTACGATGCTATGGTAGTCTTTATTATAATTACTATGAGTGCTAATAAAAACTCAAAGACGTATATTTTTAATAATAAGAAGAAACATAAACCACCAATAAACGTATACACTTCTGCTGTCACTTAAAAAAATCCAAGCGTATCGCAAGTTCAATGAAACTTGGTAATATTATAAAACGAATAACTACTAAACTTTTGATACAAACGATTTTGTAAACCGACAATGTGTACAGACTGTTCACATTAGGACTCCGCCACTACTGACCCCTCGCATTTTGTATTAGAACTTCCGGCAATGAGTGTGGTGATATATTAACTTAGTATATTTTAAGAGTTTGGTCATTTAAACTCCCAGAAAAATAGAAAAGCAAAATCTTAAAAGATGAAACTTGAACGTGTTCTTAAAAAAGTAACCATTAAAGATTCACGAGAAATATAAATTGTTGATAAACGATACGGAAAAAACTGAAAGTGGATGGATAATTTTGAATCAGTGCATCATTATACTAAACTGATTGGAAATACTGTTGAGCGAAATTTGTGAGTCACTTACAATGGATACATCTTATAAAATATTGAACCTTAAAATATAATTAACTAACTTTCACACCCAGTCAGCATCTGTAAAGCGGGGAATTCACTAGACAGGCATGCCCGCGGGCAAGTCTGCAGATATGCCTGCCAGACCTCGTTACTATAGGTCTGTGTCATGTTTGCCTAATGTAGGTCCGTCACAGGCTGTCTGTCAGACTGCCTGTCGCCCGTCCGTGAGATCTCATTTTGTCTGCGCGGGCACAGACAAGTCTGTGGGTGAATGCTCACATTATGGACGTCGACGACGTGAAACAAAATGAGTTTTAAAGAAAATAAAAATTTTAGGAAGATTTTATAAATGAATATAAAAAATATCCTTCTTTATGGAAGGTTAAAAGCAAGCAATATATTAATACGGAATTACGCAATATTGCATATCAAAATTTAATGAACAAATGTAGGGAATTATATCAGGTAAGTTTGTTGTAAAATGTTTATGAGGTGGAGGTGGTATAATTCCGAATAAAATATGTTGAATTTATAAAGTTTTTATTCACCACACATACATGTAAAAAGTAATAAAATGTAAGCACAAAATTACAAACAATGCTGTAGAATATAGAAGGCGAACGTGAGCAAAAAGAAATATGTAATTACTTCAAGTTGATATCTAATAATATAAATAATAAATTTCAATTAAAACAAAGCGTGCGATATGCATCTTAGAATTATTGCAGCATTATTCTCCGTTTCGTAGCCATTGTAATATGCACTGATAACACAACCAGTCGCTTGGTGCGTCGAACACTAACTGACGAGTCTGTGTAGTGTGTTGTGAACGACAGACATGCCCGGCATACTTGCCCGCGGGCGTGCCTGTCTAGTGAATTCCCCTCTTAAGACCGGCACGATCTGATGCCTTATTTATGTGCGGGTGCTAAAGAGCAGATCTTGCAGACTGATTTCATATTTAAACTATAAAGTCATCGGTATTATAAGTTAAAAGATCAGTGGGCAAAAGGTCTCGATTATATTACAAATATCTCGTTAGTAAAACCATGATGGAATCAAAGAGACAGATTGGGCCATAACCGTGCTCATGTGGTGGACACAGTACAGAATTTTAACAGAATTTTAACACCGCTTGTACCTTTGCGGTGCATAGACAGGTGTATCATACCATCGACACAGTTCATCGTTTTCCTCAGTTCTTTATGTTTAAACTTATTTTATATCTTTGATCTTATGTTTCATTTCTTGGGTTCCGTAGTAAAGAAAGTTTCGCGATTTCCGTCTGTCAGTCCGTCCGCGGTTGAGCATAAAACTATTGGTACTAGCAAATTGTAATTTAGCATGAGTATACACGTTGATTACGCCGACAAAGTGGTAAAGTAAAATGTAAAAAAAAAAAATTTTAGGGTACCTCTCCTACATGTAAAGCGGGGATAACAATTTTTTCGTCTTCCCCATAGTGTGGGGCATCGCTAGATAGGCTTCTCGAAAATATTAGGGGTGTGGGAAGCCTGTTTTTTCATTTAGTAAACTTAAGCTATAAAGAGCTAAATATAATTATTGTTAGAGTCAAGTGTCCCCCCCCTCTACCAACTAAACGATAGTTGGTAAGAATTCAAACGTTACGGCAGTAGTACCTTTATATAACGAAGTTAAAAGGAAAACTATCATACTTAAGTTGGCTTTACAAGTTTATGAGTAATAGTCAACCAATTTTATTTAACTCGAAAATTTCTAACAACTCTATAGAAAACAACGAACATGTTAGTTTTTACTTTTTTTAATGGATAATGATACGGAACCTTTCGTGCGCGAGTCCATATTACACCTGACCGGCTTTTTGTTATTCCTTTTTTTCCTAATTTTACATCATTGGTACATTGGTACGTCAAAAGATTGTAGTCTTCATTTTTCAATAAAAATAGACACATGAGTAACTATAAATATATAAATTACATTTTTTTACAGACAGTAGAGAAGTGAAATCAATTAAAGTGTCTACTACGATCGAGTAATATTGTGTTTTCTCAAACCCGCGGATTTTTTATTTTAACCATATATTATTAAATATTCCAGCTTATTCCTGTGTTATAAATCCGAACCCACGAATAACCTACAATCACAGTGTCTCAATCCTATTTCTTTGAGGAGGATGAAAGTTTCTACGTATACCCAAATAATTAAGCATTTTGAAAAAAATAAAATCATGACAGTTATATCATTGTACTTACATTTAAAAATGCTTATTAGATATACATGAAAATAGAAATAGCTATGTCAAAATGATGGATAATAACAAATATAATCTTAAAAATAACAATAAAGTAATATAACCAAAAGTGAGACTTACGAAAGTACAAAAGCAAGGAAAATATAATGAGTTACTATTATAATAAATTTAAAAGAAAAATTAAAATGTTTGAAAGAATGCCTTTTACACACTTAAAGAATTTATCAATAGGTATGCCATTAAAGATATCAAACAATGACAAAATATGATTCTTAAATTTTAACCGTTTCTACGTGATGGTATAAGTTTTATCTTCATAAGTAAACGGAGAATTGTTCCGGAGTGGTTTCGTTTTATTAACCTTATCTTATCTATTCATACACATCTTGATAGAGTAAAAGTTCACGTCATGTAGGTAATCAGTAGATGATAGTTGCGCTAAATGTCGTAATAATACATAAAAAATTGTAAAAAAAAAACGAATAAAACAAACCCTTTACTTACTTACTTTCTAATAAAAGAAAAAATACTCATTATATTTTTTTTTACCGATTTACGTGAAAAAAAGCGGATAGTGAAATAAATGTGCAAAAAAAATCAATGGACAGTATCTGCAGGGCAGCTTAAAATTTGTTAGTCGTTTATCAATATACAGCAAAACGAAGACTTTACGGTCCTTAAAATGGTCAACAACTTTATCGGCTTTCCTCTTTATTTGTTTTTCACATAATTTTTAATTTATTGGTAGGTCAATTAGATCAATAATTAGATTTTGTGGAAATTCATTATACATAGCAGTGCTTCTAACCAAGGTTTTTTGAGGTCGGAAGCTTAGAAAGTCAAGCTTATTTCTATTTCTTGTGTCAACATTATGAAATTTGCTAAATAAATGTAAGTAATGTATTAGTTTCTTTAAATATTTTGGCTATATTGTAAATTGTAATGGCGCTGACCATTGTCTTTTAAGACGTCAAATAGACGTTCTATGTTCGACGGGTGTGTAATTTTTGTATGTATGTTCGATTTCTATACGAATATAGACCGAATTTTTCTTCTTTTTTATTCGGAAGGTTTCGGATTTTTGAGATTCACATAAACAATTCTGGAAATTGGATTCACGGTTATGTGTTTATAAAATAAAATAACAGAAATACTTCGATGACTTCGGATTTACTTTCCTATGCTTTTTAGAATGTAACTTAAAATTTTGATAATATCACTGAAAATGTAACTTTTTTTTTTAATAAAACCGACTTCAAAAACATTGAAAATTATACTCATCTTCAGTGGCGTTTCATATGGTCATGAAAATTTTATTGAAATCGGTCGGGTTATATTAAAAACCTTGACAAAATAAATAAAACTAATTGAGACATAGATGCGTCGTTTGCATGGGATTTAATTTGATTAGGTAATAGAAATGTACTTATTTCATGAAAAACGGAAACTTCATAAGCAGTTTGTTTTTTTTTTAAATAACCTTACGTGCTGTTGTGTGTACCAAAAATACAACGTTGGCTAATTA